AATGCTTCTCTTGAAGCAGTAAATGATTCTATATTTTCCCACATATACTTGCCGCAAACAATACCTGAATTTGCATCTACAATTTCTTCCTGGCTTTCGCCACCACAATTGTCACTCTCATTATCACTAATCGCTAACGTTCCCGGTGTCACCAACTGTGTATATTCAAAGTCTACACTCTCAGTGTCCGAGCTACTATAATTGTCACTTCCAATAATTCGTCTAGAAGTGCCCTTTGTTCAGCATCAAATAACACACGACTGCTTGAAGGGTTCTCAATTGTAAAACTGAGGCCAGTCGTCTATTTTTAGACTCCCAGGTAGTCGTTCAAGGGTTTGTCAACAACGTTGCCGGATCTTCACACACAGAAAACTTTCCACAACAGAATACTACAAACCTCATTGCGCTGGCATTAATCGTTACAAAGTTATGAGCTGAAGAAATTAGGCTTAAAGCCGGACGTAATTTTACGCCCAGCTGCAATCCCGAGCATTTAAATGCCGGGCGTAATTTTACGCCTCTCGGCGGTGAGGAGTTAATAGTGTTAATGGATATGTGCCCTGAGGGTAACCCAAAATTAAGCATTAAATATGTATTCCATTATAGTAGTGAAATTTCAGTTATGTGGCCATTTAAATGTATACAATTTAGTATGGTTGTGAAATATGGAATTATCAGATATCCCTGTCCTTTGAGGAAGTTTTGGAATTTTCTTTAAGTTTATGTACTCTTCTTTGTTCAGGTAAACTGGAAAAGTTTGAACTACCTGCTGCTGTAAAACTGTGCACAGAAGTGTGGTCACCAGACATGGGACTAGTTACAGCTGCATTCAAACTGAAGAGGAAGGATATACAAGACAGATATCAGCACGAGATAAATCGCATGTATGCCTCATGATCTTGGAACTGACTTAATTACAGGATTGATGTAAAATCCATTCAGAAGCATTTTTCATGAGTATTTGGTTGAACATGCCCAGAGAAGTTGAAGCTGTTGCTGTTTGCAGACTGTGGGGTCTTTCAGCAGGCTGTGGTCCTACATTTAGTCTTAGTTTTTAGTATATCTGTAGAAGTATTTTTTATCCCATATTTATGTAATTTCTTTCACATGAATCTCTCCTGATATCAAAGGTTTGGGTGTTATATTGTTTTTTTGTACATCTTGAAGCTAGTACCAGTATTTTTGAGATAAAGTTTTGTATAAAATGGCTTTGCCCATGTCACCCAAATATTTGTTATTGTGAATGTAATGTTTTCTGTTACTAAGTAGGATTCAAGGTTCTCAGTGGTAAGTATGAAAATGGGTTTATTCTGGGTGGTAGTGCCATGTAGTCAGGTAGAAGTTTACCATTTCAGAGGCCCTCGCTGCCTCCTCCAGGGCATTGAGTAAGCACTGACATGTGATTGGTTTGATAGATAGGAACCAGTTAGTCAATGCAGAACCTTGAATGGACCTGTGACGAGTAGGGTCAGTATCATGTATGGGCCTAGGAGTCTATGGGAGGGGGGGTGCCAAATCCTTTCTTGACTCCCAGGAGACTACACTGTACTACAACCTAGAAGACAGCCCTCTTCTGTTATCCAAGAATTGAGACTGGAGTGAAAGTTGTAGGTTGCAATGCTGCTTGCTCAGAATAAAGGGCCAGGTGAATTTGTATAGTTTCCTGAATTGCTCATGCTGTGCATGAAATGGGAAAATGTTTCTGTGGTGTAGGTAAGCACTAGTCTAATAGTGTTCCCAAAGGAATGATATTTAAACCTAGCCAGATTAATATGGCTTTGTTTAAATTATACTGCACTAACATCACAATTATCTCATAGGTTGCATTAGAATATACTAATTGATTATCTATTTTTGTATGTACTTTATTTTGTTTGGTTTATACAAAGGTAACTTAGCTGCTGATATGTCTGAAATTAACATTGTACATCTCTGTAATAAGTGCGGTGTATATACAAGAAATGACATGTTATAACAATTTGTGTGTAATTTTTGGGGGCTAAAATGTTTTCAAAGCTCTGCTGTACATTGTGTTGACTGCATGTTTTTGCCAAGTTTACTTGTAAAATGCAATGATGTTTCATCATATATGGAATAATGAGATGATTTCACTTCACTATGTTCACTTTGATCTCTTACATTCTTGTTAAATTTACCGTTCATTATAATCTAGGCATATCGTTCAAACTGAAATGGTCGTGTTGAAGTACTGCAGTGGGGGACACTTCAGAGCTTGGCTGTGTGAGTTTATGGTGTGAGTGATATTTATATTTTATAAGAATGTATCTGTTATGTACAGTATTCAAAATACTTCATATCTTGTATGCACTTTGCCAGTGAATTTATTTAATCTGCAATAAAATTCACAGTTCACAAGGACTTGATGTAATTGTTTATACAAGTCTTGTGTTATGTACAGTGTTTGTATGTGCAATAAATTTGAGGATGATTTCAGTTAATCATTATTTTAACCCATAGTTGTACACTAGGTCATAAGCCAATACAATGTAGTAGAAAAATGAGGTATATTAATGGGATCATATACAGCATATTTTCCTCCCTAAACGATTTGGTGGTATTTAGACATCCCCAAGGGATATCCCTATCATACCATTCATTAAGATTATTAAAAGTTTTTTGTAGTTTACTTTCATAGTAATTTTTATTATGCATATTCAGAATAAAATTGTCTTCCACAGAATATGTTTAAAGTTGACTGTTTGAGTGAACCATCATGAATAGAGTTGTAGGGTGATAATAGAATATATTTTTACATTCCATCGAGCTTTCACAGGCCAAAGTTATGGATGTAGAATATGTCAGCACAAATACAATTCATGTTTCTAATACAAATGTAAGTTACATGTTAATTAGCAATTTACAGTCAACTGCAGTATTACTGCAAAAATAATTAGATAAGGAAGCACAGACACTGTTGCCAACAAGTATTTATAATTGCTGAGAATTTTTTGTTGAAGCAAATTCTATGAAGTAGGATTTAGATAGCAAAACCTCTTTTAGTGCTGGCTTGAACTTACATATTTATTCAGTGTTTTTATAGTGGGGGGGGGGAGATTATTAAATAACATATTATACTATAGTATACTCCTTTTTGATATTCTCTTAGGTTAGTGTTTAGTACAGGAAAGTTACAACTGTATGTTGTACTTATAAACTAACTCCGTAGTAGCAGAAGCTACAGGTCCAACACTGGCACTACTATTGTGCATATCTGAGTTTGAATTTGTTCTGAGTTCAAGAACTTACTGGCTAGAGGATGAATATTAAATTCCTTATATGAGGCTCTCCTTTTAGTGCCTACCTTTATTAAAAAGATTTTCTTTTTGATGTATAATACTTCTTCACTGTGTGTTGATATTCTGCAGAAAATAATTCCATGTGACATTACTGGATGAAAGCAAGGAAAATAAACTAATTTTAAAGTTTCTGTTTCATGAGTGATACTAGTCCTCATAGAATTCATGCAGAGCATAGTTTGGGCATAATTTATTGAATACGTTTTCCAATTTAAGTTAATCAGTTTGTAGGCCACTGGGTGTCAATAATATTTGTATCAGCAAGAAGTAAAAGCTGTGGTTTAAGTATTTGGGAACGATTCATGTGCTGCAAGCATGATTATTTTTGAAATTAGCTGTGTTCTGGACGTGTAGTCTTTTAGATATAGCGCAATAACCAAGAAGACAGCCATCCTAGTCTTACCGCCGTGGATGGCTCAAATCGTACGTGGTTATCTTTGAGGTTAATGTGGTGTGAAAAGATTTATTGAAATTTAAAAACGCAGGAGGAAGGAAAAACTTGCGAAGAAATACAGGAGTAGGAGCTGTGGTAGACAGAGAGGCTTGTGGATAGGTTTGCTTATCAGACGACACACATAAAGTACAAATATGAGAAAGATGAATTAAATGGTTTTTATATATTTTGGACTATGTTGGCGACAGTGGTATTGTATTTAAAAATGGCGCGAGTGGGATGTAGTAATTTGAGTTATGGAATAGATATGGAATTATAAAGGTAAGTGGTGTTCGAATTTGCGTACTTGATTTTTTATTTCATTTTTATGCCAACTTACGTTACTCAGAGGAAGATCAACAACCGTATGGGCGACCCAGTCCTCGTTTCCATGTCACAACCATGCATTTAGACTGCAACATTTTATTTGTGGTTATTGTAAGAATGAGATTTAAAACAAACTCTTATACCTTAAATATGGTTATGGTGTTAATGTAATGCTTGCAGATGATGACAGGATATTCTTGGTTCAGAAATTTTGAAAAGTCATGCTGACAGGTTTCAGTTTTGTTCAAGCACTTTGTGTGAGTGTAAATTACATAATGCAATTATAATTTCTTTCAAAAAGTTTTTTAACCCAAAGTTGGTGTGTAAAATGCCACTATTGAATTATCTGTTGCTGGTGCTTATGCATGAGCCTCATGGCTGTAGTAATGGAAGAATTACCAAAGGGTCTGGTCCCCTTCCAAGAACAATTGTTTAATGTTTAGGTAAATTGCCTTTGTAGGCCCAAAGAACTGCTCTGGATGTAGTGGAAAGAAGAAAATTCCCTGCCCCTTCCAGAAATTAAAACGTGGTTGTCTGGCCAATATCAGTACTAAGCTCACTGACATAACATTTAGTTGTTTTAGAATTGTTTACTGAAATTAAAATAAAGTTTAATACTATATTTGTAACAGCTTAAAAGTTACAAGTTTAAAATATAATTTGTAAAAACATTCAGAAACCAGTTTTAAATTACTGAATAGCAAACCCTATAGAATGCTCAAAACTGTAATCCTTGAAAAGAAAGTGACATTAGCTTTGAATGAAACTTATAATCATCCATTACATGCAGCCTTGTTCATTGTGTAAGAGGTGGTTTATTTGTTCCAGTGAATAGGGGATAGGCCATATTGTGAAACTGGTCTCATTTTGCACCACAGAAGTATATTCCTTCTTTTGTATTTGCTGCTGTTATGAAAAGATGAACACAAAGGAAATTGCAATACGGTACTTCAGGCACCTGAAAGGTATGTTACTCCAACTAACTCTGTAGAGCAGAATCTTTGGGAAACTAATAGCTACTAAGCTAGTTAAATTCTCCACTCTGTACAGAATTCAAATGGTCTCTGGTTTACTAGTCAAAAATTTTCATGCCTTATATGTCACTTACTATACCCATTTTATCCCTGATTTGATCACCCATAATAATATTTTTCAGAGAGTACAATTTATAAAGCTTTTTATTATGTATTTTTCTCTGTTCTGCTATTACTTTCTCTCTTTCTTAGGTCCAAATATTCTCCTCAGCTTGTTCTCAAATATCTTTTGTCTGTGTTCTTCCCTTATGATGAGAAACCAAGCTCATACCTATACAATGCAGTGGGTAATATGATAGTTTTGTATGTCTTGATTTCAGGCTTAAAATCTTAATGATAAAAGGGAAAGTTCACTTATTACAGTTATTGACCATTTTATAGTTAACAGTAGTCTGCTATGTATGTAACGTAATGGGCTATCTATCTGCTCTGTCTTGAGTCACTCTTGATTTCTAATGTTCAGTTTTATTGATATAGAACAAGTTTTATCTTTACATTTATCTAAAGTAATCAGTTTCAGTGGTGATGTATGGCATGGTTTTATTTTGAAAGTATATACATGTAGGTTCCCTGTTAATAAAATTTCTTATCTTGAGGCTGTGACTGAGGGAAACTGGTTGTTGTTTTTGAGGGTTTTTTTGTGATTTATTTTTTCTCATGTGTAATTTTATACAATCCTTGTTCATAGATGATATAAAATTACCATTACTTGTGCTTAACATATTTCATTGGTGATATTTATGTAATATTTTCAGGGAAAAAGAAAGCATTAAACACAGTGGAGTTCATAACAAATATAAATGAACTGAAGAGTGAAACTCATAATGGTTTCACTGAAGAAGAAGTTGAAATATTGGTTGATGCACTTATCAATATAGAGGGTCTTGGTAAGTTACTCTGTGGCCACACATTTTAAAAGCTTCGTCTTGTAAAATAGTTTTCATTTGTCATTAGTGATTCTTTAACAATCAGGATGAAATTTGTATTGAACAGAATATTACAGGAAACTCCTGTGTATTATCTGGGGTCTATCTGGTTTCTAAACACAAATTAAATATTTGATTAAATAATCTATTGTAAAAGTTAGAATGCTCAAGAGAAAGGAATAAATACAATTATATATTATTTAACATATCCTTCTTTTGTATTTGCTGCTGTTATGAAAAGATGAACACAAAGGAAATTGCAATACGGTACTTCAGGCACCTGAAAGGTATGTTACTCCAACTAACTCTGTAGAGCAGAATCTTTGGGAAACTAATAGCTACTAAGCTAGTTAAATTCTCCACTCTGTACAGAATTCAAATGGTCTCTGGTTTACTAGTCAAAAATTTTCATGCCTTATATGTCACTTACTATACCCATTTTATCCCTGATTTGATCACCCATAATAATATTTTTCAGAGAGTACAATTTATAAAGCTTTTTATTATGTATTTTTCTCTGTTCTGCTATTACTTTCTCTCTTTCTTAGGTCCAAATATTCTCCTCAGCTTGTTCTCAAATATCTTTTGTCTGTGTTCTTCCCTTATGATGAGAAACCAAGCTCATACCTATACAATGCAGTGGGTAATATGATAGTTTTGTATGTCTTGATTTCAGGCTTAAAATCTTAATGATAAAAGGGAAAGTTCACTTATTACAGTTATTGACCATTTTATAGTTAACAGTAGTCTGCTATGTATGTAACGTAATGGGCTATCTATCTGCTCTGTCTTGAGTCACTCTTGATTTCTAATGTTCAGTTTTATTGATATAGAACAAGTTTTATCTTTACATTTATCTAAAGTAATCAGTTTCAGTGGTGATGTATGGCATGGTTTTATTTTGAAAGTATATACATGTAGGTTCCCTGTTAATAAAATTTCTTATCTTGAGGCTGTGACTGAGGGAAACTGGTTGTTGTTTTTGAGGGTTTTTTTGTGATTTATTTTTTCTCATGTGTAATTTTATACAATCCTTGTTCATAGATGATATAAAATTACCATTACTTGTGCTTAACATATTTCATTGGTGATATTTATGTAATATTTTCAGGGAAAAAGAAAGCATTAAACACAGTGGAGTTCATAACAAATATAAATGAACTGAAGAGTGAAACTCATAATGGTTTCACTGAAGAAGAAGTTGAAATATTGGTTGATGCACTTATCAATATAGAGGGTCTTGGTAAGTTACTCTGTGGCCACACATTTTAAAAGCTTCGTCTTGTAAAATAGTTTTCATTTGTCATTAGTGATTCTTTAACAATCAGGATGAAATTTGTATTGAACAGAATATTACAGGAAACTCCTGTGTATTATCTGGGGTCTATCTGGTTTCTAAACACAAATTAAATATTTGATTAAATAATCTATTGTAAAAGTTAGAATGCTCAAGAGAAAGGAATAAATACAATTATATATTATTTAACATACTAACATAAATCAGTTGTTGCTAAAACCTGAAGTTTACAGAAGTAGAATGTTATTACAATCCATTGGAATCCTTTTTACTATTGTTGGTGTGTACTGTATTAAATTTTATGTAAAATACTTTAATTTATTAGTAAATATTTAAAAATGTAAGTAGTATATGTCTGTAAATAAACATGTATTTGTTACATTTGCTTGTTTTTCTTTCAGTTTTGTGGATTATCTGGTATTTTGATTATCCAGGAAAATATGTTTTCCAACCATCCCAGGTAACTGGGAGTCTACTGTACTTTTAAGGCAGCACTTAGTTGATTAGCTTATTTTAATAAGAATTGATTAACACACTGTAATTATGTTTCTTAATAAATTTCATATATAATTATCTGTCTGCATGCTTGCATATTTTTTATATGGAAAATAAACTGTTCTAGTCCCTACTTACATGAGCCTTCCCAGACTCTTAAAAAGTCCTGGGAGTTCTGCAGAACATATTTTTACATCTGCTACAGATGATAAAAAAATTTGTTTTTTGCAATTCCCATGACTTTCAAGACACCCAGGGAGGAAGAGAGACTTACATATGTATAGTGCAGTAAGTGTGTGGAGTTTATATGTGTGATATTTTATTTGGTGTATTAGTTTTCTTATAAAATTTATTTTGAGCATAATGTGAATGCTGCAGAATTATTAATAATATTTATGTGATTAGATCTGTTTTAATGTTTTTTATGTTTTGTATTTCTAGGTATTCTCTGAATGTGATGTATTTTATTCTGACTTGTTCCACATTTTGCTGATAGATTTATGAGATGTATCTTTCTATCTTTGGCTGGGTTTGCAATACAGAAAAATTTCAAAACTGGTGATAATTTGAAAGTGCCAATAATTGGTCTTCTGAATATAAGATGTGAATTCATTTTTAGTGGAGTATAAGGGCTTGCTCTTCACATTGTATTTGGACTGCAGTGATGGCAAGTGCAATTTGTTGTGGAGTTTGCTGTTGCTGTACAGCTGTGACAGTGCTCTGAACCTTTACACCACTTGAAAAACAAAATTAATTATAACAGTCACTTTGTTGTGGGAAGTAATAAATTGGATTGTATGTATGAAGATTTAGACAACTGATTAATTGTGCTAGTGATTGGAACATTTTGTTTATTTAAAACATAATAAATGTTATTTCTTTTGTTTTAGCATCTGTTAAGTTTCAAGGACTGTTGGAATGCATTGTGCCACATAAAAAGGTGTCATCTAAAGCAGCTTTAAATTTGCTTCAGTGGATATTCACTTATTTCCGTACTGCACCAATTGGAAGTGTTAAGTCAGCATTAGAATGGATTATAGGTGAGTAATACACTCTTGAATCATTGCTGGATTCAGGGTTTTTATTTATTGAGATGATAGAACAGAGGGTTGAGGAATTAAAAGAAACTGAATGTAATAAAAGGTTGGAAAGGTGCACTTTATAGAGTACACAAAAGTTACAAAGGCATTCTTTACATTATAATAAATGTGTTACCATAGACATTGGTCTGACATCATGGCAACCAGACAATTCAGTCTCTTGCCACAAAGAGAAAAGACTGTAAGGTTGTACTCTTTGGAATATACTGAAATTAGAGTTCTTTACACCACATTTCATGTTCACACATCACTGTGGACCTCGGTGTTCTCATGGGCACTTATGTTATAAAGTATAATGACATTGTGCATTTGCAGTGGATCATGGGTAATGACATAATCATCTTTCCACCTCAGGTGTTTGTCAGTTAAATTTGTATTATTGGTTTAAGGAAACTAAAAAGTGTGATTGTAGACTAAGCACTAATGTTGTTAACATCTACTCAGAGTTTTATTTGAGCTGTTGTATCTGTGTGTGTTAAACTGCAAGGAGAAGAAGGCCAGATGATTCCTCACAAGTTTTGCATTAAGAGTGGAGAAGGGTATCATATAGTTGAAGCAAAAAATAATAATTTAAATTTGTCAGCTAACAATTATGAAATTAGTAGGATTTGATTGTCACGATATTTTATTGAAAATTTTTATATTTATCTGTCTTCACTTATTTTGTTACAGGTTTGATTAAGTTTGGTTTAAGAGATGAAGTGCCAATCCATCATTTTATCATCATTTTTATTTGCTTCTTGAAAATGAGAGATTGGTAATGTGTATTTTAATTATTTATACATTTCATAGTTACTATAAGCATTCAGGTTAACTTCACTTTTGTTACCTTTATTTACAAGGTACAATATTGCTTCAATTCTAAATATGTCTCTGAACTGAACCATAAATGAAAAATTGAACTGCACAATTTTGACAAACCTGAATTGAACCTATGAACAGAATGGTATTTGAACCATGAACTTATATTACTAATTTAAGAACTGGTACAAATCAGTTATCAATTTCTCTGATGTGTGTAATTCAACAGTGTGGATATATAAAACAACAGGTTCTATTCCAGACATGTTTTAACAAGTGAGAAACATCATAAAACAATATTATCTGTGAAATAAACTGTCTCCCCAGTACTTCTACACACTATTCTGAAGGCTGTTGTCAACAGCAATTGACTTAGCAAGGAAAGAGATCATTTGTCTATCAGCAAAGCTTTGTAAGCAAGATGTTGAAATGAAACAGTACTGTTTGCCAGACTAGATGTAGAATAGACTAAATACAATACATAATAGAAGTGTTTTGTGAACTGTTGTGGTGTTTGATTGACTGTGCAATGTTAACTAATCATTTTCCCTACTAGTAGCAGTTTTTCTGAGGTCCTGCTTAGTCTTGTATGTTTTCTACTCATTTTCTTTATAGGCTGTTGCTGCCTGCAAATTAATACATCTGTTAACAACTCCTAATGATGTCTCAAGGTGGAGAGTGAAAAAGATATTGAAGTTTGAACAGAAGCTAGGGAAGAAGAATCACACTTCTTGTCTTCTGTGGTAAGTGACACTGTTTTATAGCTGCATACATTTTGTTGGTCTGACACAAATTAGAAGAACTAACTAATTTGTACTTATTTTGTATTCCTTCTGATTGATAATTTTAGTTATACGATGCCTGTCACTGGACCAGACATTTTGATAATGATGGTAGGGAGACAAAGATGGCCTTTTTCTCAAAGTAGGTGATTTTGTTAAAGAAACATTTATCTTGACAAGTTTTTCAAATTGTATATGAATAATTTTTTGATCTGGTGAACATTCCTTTTGGCCTTCAGGTAGATCACCTGGTCTGGTTAGCTTACAAGATTTTGGGTTTCTGTTTTGAAAATGTTAGAAGCTCTAAAGTTATCAAGATGTTCAATATGAACGTGAATTAAATTTTATTAATGGAATTTCAGTGAGGACTGGAATTTGAATTTTATGTAATGTGTATTAATGGGAATAGGTGAGTGTTTTAAACATACATGTATTTACAGTAAAGTCTGTGCATGAATTTTTAAGACAAATGTGGAAACATGTCAACTAGGCTTTTGTGATCTTTCCACACCGCACTGTCCACTTTGGGAGAGGCTGGTGTTGGAAGGGTCTACACAAGATATGGTTGAACAATGCCTTTTTATTGGTGGTTAACAGTAAGTGTCAGTGGTGGGGTGGGGAGTTTGTTCCAGTGTGATTATGGTGGTGGATGGGGGAGATGTTTTCAGTTCTTCCCATACATTTGCCTAAATTTGCTCAAAGTCTCTGTCTGGCAGTTTCTTATATGAGGCTGAGTAGCAGACTTCTCTCTTAAGGTGTTATCAGAATCTTGCAGAGTAAGATCAGTGGTAAGGCTGCAATCTTCTGGTTTCTTATTCAAATGTCATGCTTATTATCCCTTGTGATGGAGGTTACCCCTTTTGTTTATCTTTGGCTGGTAAAGTCTCTACACCCTTAA